AGGCATAATCAAGGTTTGAAAACAGATGTGTATCACGACGATACATCGGGTTCAATCGCGTGTAGTTGAAACGGTGTCGGGAAGAGTTGATATGTGAGTCTAGTCGACTTGCCAGTATGTAGTTGTGGGCTGTGACTTTATTCAGTGCCGAGTCACATCCGCCACGTCGCGGTGCCTTTAACAGACATTTGTGGCTTTTTATAGGGAGAACGCTTGCCAGGCGAAAACCCACCACGTCCTGCAACACTGACGTAAAGCATTTTGAACATTAATGTTGAACTGGCAAAGCCGCTTGACGACTGGTTTTACCTTCGGTTTTTCGCAGAGTAATGGCTTCTAATTTCCTCTGTTAGTTGGACAGGTAATTTGATCGGGTTCGCCATGATTTTTGAGGTCGGTGGAGGAGAAGGACATCGCGGTTATTCTTCTTGTTGCATGTCCAGGTGAGCAAAAGTTCAACTTTTCCGCTGTCCAGATTTTTCAGATGTGTAATGTTTGGGAGTATGAGTATATGTCCAGTTCTCCATACTGGACAAGGGTTATGGTTATTGTAGTTCGGTCCTTTTGGAGTTCTATCATGATCCATGTAAGTCCTTGTGGGTTGTTACGTCCGTCTCGGGCCAAAACTGTTCCTCAGTCCAATCTCAGATCTCCAAGGAGTCCCGGACCTCAGAGAAAATGGAAAGTGAGGGACAACCGAGAGAAGACCGCAAGATCAGGCATGGAGTTGAACATTGTTAATGTCTTGTGTTACTATATTTGGGCTTGAAACAAAAGCGTGTACACTGTGCAACAATAATTTTGCTGAAAATGTCTTTTGAATATTCTATAGAATCATTAGCCGTATGGGTGGATTGCTAACGCCTGCGTAGAGAAAAGAGCGTTGTACAAGTAAGTAACGTACGAAGTATCCGTTTAGTATGAGCCAATAATTGCGTGTGGAGAGACCAGAGAGAGTTAGAATATTGGTAGTGACTGTCAGGTGCATGAACAGCACGTAGTTAGCGTAATCCGAGAGGGAGGGCATAATAAGCGAAAATAAATAGGTTGCCGCGAGAGAGTCCTAAAGATCAATTGGTGGCAGGGCAGCGGAAGGATTGGATGCAGATATTCTAAAGGAATAAAGGTTATTGGGATACGGAGTGGCTCCTAACAAGCACTGGATCATCGCATATGCATGGGACCAATGGCCACTAGCTACTTCTGAACAGAGATGCCGAATTTACAACGACCGACAGATGGTGGCGCTAGGAGAGACTCAGTGGCCAGATGTAGCCATTCCAATCAGACGCTTGGTCAATAGTGTATGCCTACAGGGTCGCTGAGTGTATAAACAGGCCAATGAGGGTAGGTGATAGGTCAACAGGCCAGCTGAGCTGTGACGCAAACAAATGGTTTTGTGGGATGCATTTGAGGGCGCAGAGGAATGTTATATTTAATAATGGGGACTGCAGCTGCTTGTTATTTTAATCATCCTCCTTTTCCTGCTAGGTGTGCTAAATGAAATGCTTTTGATTCACGCCAGATGGTTTTGCATGAAGTAATGGTATGTAAGCATGGAAGTCGATGATTACTCATTTCGCTGCTTAATAGGTTTTGGGGGGTACAGGTGTTCTTTAAACATTTAAAATTGTTTAAAGAATATTGCCTCGGAAAGGGTATCGGAGTTAACCTTTTGTATGCAGCGAAATAGGGATGATGTAATCCCGTAAATGTTACCGTAATAAATAGGTAAGACATACTGTTCTGTGTGCATTAACCTTAACTGAAGTAGCAGCCGGGTTCACGTTACTTATAATTGTCGCATTGTACTTATAAATTAATCCGCTGCTGTGGAGACTAACAAGACGTGCTGAGTAGGAAGTGAATGTTTGGAGCAAATGCTTGGCAGTAAAATAGGAAACGATGAACATGACGCCGTTGTACTGATGTACGCCGTGCGTTTGTAAGGTGGTGTATGATTGTATCATGTGGGCAGATGGTCGCTCAAAGAACATGCAAATATGCTCATATTTGTGGGAAGCATGGCGAACGCTCATCAGCCAGCAAGCGAGAATACTGAAAAATGGTTCAGCACGAATTATTAGAGGAAGCATTGAGGGCGCTACGAAGTAAAGGTTCCAGAGGCTAAGTGAAATAGGGAAACAAGGTTTACGACGAATGTAGGGCTACAGCGGCATGTTGATTGTTGAAAAGGACTAATAATGTGAACTTACCACGGCCAACGAAGCGATCACATCTCAATAGTGAGTAGTCAGACAGATGCAATTTACCGTCCACGATGTCCCGAAACAGCCACGTGTCAGTGAATGCAAGTATATTGGGATGAGACCCATCTACAAGCAGACCTATCTCGCACAGCTTACTCCTTAGGCTGCACACATTGCTTAGCACTACCTGAAGGTACTCGTAATGGAACAATGGAACAATGGTTTATTACGGGTAAAAAGGCTTTGCTTAACAAGTCCCGTAGGATGGAAATTATTGTGAAAATCAATTGCATGATAAAGTGAAAAGCGTTGTGGTGTACTCACCATAGACTTATGTGGAATAGCGGAGATGTTCGCGTAGTAAACATATAAATCCATAAATCCATTGGTTAGGCGTTTGGCAAGACACCGTTTGATTGCGTTTTGTAGCCCCTGGCTAACAAGTCATAAAATGAAATGTAAATGAGACAATGCATCGTCAACACGTTTTTTAAATATCTCCAGATTGGGAGCAGAGACGACATAATTAGGGAGGGCGTTCCAAGGCTGGCACACGCGAAGAAAAGAAATTTCTACGGCATAATGACATGCCTTTGCGGGAGAATACAAAATGCCATGGATAGGAGCCCTTAGGTGAGTAGTGCTGCGCAAGAGTACAGACTGAGCCAATGCCAATCATATCCACTAAACAATACTGTTCTACTTCAGACAATTGCTTCCCATAGTCACGGTTCGCCTTGCCCATGTTTATTTGCTTAATACATCTGATTCATGAGACTCCTAATAACAACGAATGGAATGTGTTGACTTGTGTTCATATGCGACTCTACTGATACAGCCCTAGAGAAAACAGTTGAATGAAACAGTGCAGTGTGAGACAATCTTATTTTGATAATTATTGGCTTTTCTGATAAGCAACACCATAGGTATAAGAGTATTACTTTTAACGAAATTGCATATGCTGTTACTCTACAGATGTCAACGCGAAAACTCGGGATGGACTGACATTGCTGCATTTTGCTGCGAAGTACAAAAATCGTACAAATGAAGCGAAATTGGTAAGAAGTCGGTTTCTTTCCTTGTGTGAAATGAAATTCGCCACAGTGCACACAACCGTTCATCTGAAAATAGTCGTCTTTGCGGATGACTGCTCATGCAAACACGTCTCCCGAGGTGACTGCAGAGAGATGTGTTCTTTACTGGATGTTTTATGTAATACGGGCTGCTTCAGCTTTGCTTTTCAATCTAATCTGTTCAGTTAACACCGCTACAAGAACAATTTATCGAGTTTAGCTTCGAATGACGACAGTCTTTTAGCGGATTGCAACTGAGACAACCCGCTGTGCAGAAACCATAAGATGCATCATTGAATTTGCTTTACGTTCATTCAAATAACTTAGAATTGGCATGCAGTCGAGGTTTCAGGTTCCCTATTCTAACTAAAGCTATAAAGCCCAGTGTGATTTAGAGAATATCACGAAACTTTTCTTCTATCAGCCGATTTTAAACTTGAGACAGGACAAACATCCACTTCCCCTTAAGAGCACATTGAAATTTAAAACGCACACTGCCAATAGTGATACGTACTACGAGGCGATCAGCACGTATAATGAGTTTTCTGCTTAGGTCACGAATTTTTTCATTCAAACTCTCAGTTAGTACTTGCTATGAGCAGATACTATGTTTTATTTGTGTTAGGCTTGTGTATGCAAGTAATGCTAGTCCATTGAAAAGCTGGCACTAGACTGAGCAACCCCAAATTATTCAAGTAGGCCGTAATCCTCAACAGGGAACAATAATAAATTATTTCTTATCAAAGAGATATGAGAATTTCCAACTTGGAACCGATCAAGACGCCTTGGTTGCAGGGAGATTTGTGAGCAACCAAATATTCACAAACATTTCTGCGACCAAGACGTCAGATCTCTTTTGGAGTTTGGTAACTCGAGTAAATAATATTTCGGGTAATTTGCAACAGGGAAACAGAGGGTTTCCTGGTTTTTCAAAACGTTTTATGTAACCGTTGAAAAAACCAACAATCTTCCAGAAGGAAATCGCTTGAGTAGATAAATAACCAGCCCTTCTGCTGGAAGGAAATGACCGTCCGACGCTTCTCCGTATGTTGATTTCCTTTTCAACGCCATCTGATTGGGACCAACCTCCTCAGAGTTTTTCAATCCAACAAGCACCGGCTTAAAGTGAAAGATGTGCGCTGGTCTAAAGGTCACACCCTTGCATCTTATAAGTCATCAATCGAGAGTGCGTAGGACGAATACAATAATCATCCATCTAGAATCGTATACCATCATTCGATAAAAAGGAACATTTTTATGCACATATTTGATGTATGATTGTTATAACTATTCTTCGAAGTCCTTATGAGTTACGTGGTGTGAAAGCTTTCGCATTCTGTGACTACCTGCTTGGTACATCCCGCTCCTGACCATTCTTATTTGCAGCTTTATATAGCCGAACACAACAATCCTGTTTAAAGAATAAGAGTAAAATTAGTCTGCACAGCCTAGTGTGTTACAAATCACTAAAGTTCCAAAGGTACAGTTTGTTAAGCTATCTCGTACCTGAAGGCTCGACATCTGAATGGTATGTAGTGACAAATTTGACTTTGTATAAACCTTACAGTTCTAATTTTCCTTTGCATCTTCACGCGTTCCGATCACACAGTCTACCCAGAATTGCCCCTACCCGTCGCCGCCTTCGAGCGAAAACGTTGCAAACAGCAATGTAGCATCGCCTGTTGTTAATGACAAGGTTGTTCAGTATCTTTGCTCAATGGGAGCGAAAATGGAGGAAACTGATGAGAACGGCATGACCGCACTGCATTACGCGGTGACCAGAAATAACTTGTCGGCTACCAAGCAGTTAATTATAGCCGGTGCGAACTTGGAGGTGAGTGAATCGAACGCGCTCCAGTTAGGTAAATTGGACGCATTCGGATTCTACCCAGGTTCATTACATTGCTCACCACGCAAGTCCCTTATACACCTTGATGGAGTTATCTAACTTCTTTTATAAGAAAGCCCCTCGTTCTTGTATAATGATGTGTGCATGTTCCAGCTGAATAGTAAAACGCCAACAACACTGAACAGATCATTAGGCTTATTGGCTTGTTAATTATGTGGCTCTACATGAATGAGCTTGTTATTCAGTGGTGATATCCTTGTGACGTGGTCTCTGCTACAACACGTACTCTAGCTAGGGCATGCCTACTATTGACTACTGACCCCACTGAGTATCAAATAAAGTACTCTTTCTAGCATCATCAAGCAGCCTTTTTGATGCAATGAAGCAACCATTCCAGTGTCCGTAGCAGGACCAAAGCTGAGTGTATGGTAAAGCCAGCGTTAATTGCATACCAGTATGTTTCTGCGTCAGCTGTGCAAACATTAGTATATCTGATCCAGCGTTTTTTCGGTAAACACCAGTTCAATGTGTCCTGTGTCACACTCTCTATCCATAATCCGAACCGAAAAAACGTTGCCAGCAATGTAAACCCTTCATCTCTGGACTCATCATGCGTTCCACCTCGGCACAGATGTAAACCAGCCTAATTCTGTTTCATACAAGGAAGGCAAACACAGTGCACGTTTGCGTTCTGTTGTCACCCGACGAGTGCAGGTGACAGCACATAGTGCAAACAGTTTAAGGTATCACCAAGTCATTCGTCAAAAATTCATAACGTGTATGCTGAAGTGACATAAGTCGGAAGAGAGTTCCAAGGCTGACGAGTTCGAGGGGAGAAATATACCGGCTACATTTCAACTGCTGTATCACGCTGCCAGTTTCAGATGGTAAACACTTAGTTCGGTGTCATGACTAATTTTCAGGAGCTAGTGCAAAAGGTGACTATGGTTTTTCAAAGTCTGAAATGTCAGGATGCAGTTATGCCGCAGAGAGTGATATCTTCCATTGTACACTCCTAAATTTTGCGGTCGTAGTTGATATGGAAGATGGCGTAAGCCCGTTTACATTTTAGCTGCCCTTCACTGTGGAGTTTAGAGTACAATTGGATCGCATTTCTGGCAGGGTCACTAGGCTCCATTTGCGTGCTTCATATGAGGCCTCACATATGCGGTGAGAATTTGCTGGGAAGTGAACGGAATAAGCCACCGGAATGCTTTACACAGAAGACCAACGTACTGGTCCCTTGTTTCGGGCGCATACACGGCTTGATTCATGCAATTGAGGTCAATCCGAATCGCTATCCCTAGGTCGCGTTGCTATGAGGCCGGCTGCTAGATGTGGACTCCCAAAATATTTGTTACCTGTCTGATATTCTGAATGAATCACATTGCATTGGCTTGCGTTGGACGAAAGTGGATTCATTAGTGACAAGTTAGAAACACAGTCGGGTCAAGTTGCAGAAGTTAGGGATTTTTCTGCTTATTGATCAGGCGTCACGTATTGATATCATCTAAGAAAAACGAGACCTTCGAGGTCGAGACACATGCGGAGTCCTTAATGTAGAAAAATAATTAGCGCTACCTCGGAGCGTCATTTTGATGAGACAGCGAGCCCCAGCATTGATAGTTACTATTATTTTTGTTATAAGTGAGCGAGAAATTACCTAGACCGAACGACTACCGTCCTTGATAATTGGTTTGCTGGTACCCTACCTCCATATTTTGAGGAAGTGCTGTTTATCCAAGCACCGTCGAAAATATAGAACAATAGGCTCATTTAGCCTCATACTGACAGCATTTAACTCCGGAGAAAACATGGAGGCTCAACGATAGCCGCCACTTCAATACAGTGGCTGTGATACACCTGACATGTATAATTCTTGACATTTAGAACAATGGGCAAGTATGTGACATGAGCTGGTTGTACGCCAGGAATTTTGTAGCAGGCTCTAACCGCAACACTTTGGCTGCATTATCAGCACTTTGAACACATCTGTTTCTAAGATCGGTGGGGGATCGCCAAGCTGCCCCTTTCGGAGGTTGTGCATCTACTCTTACAGTAGCATTTTATTCGCATGGGACCTTGTCTCTAGACACTGCCGGTGGGTTAATTCGTCCTCAATGACTAGTGTTGTACAATGACAATGCCGTACCAGGTATTTTTACCAGGTATCAGTAATCGAAGTTCAAAGCACGATTTCGGAGTGTATACTTTTTGACTAATATCGGCCAACCTTATGCGAACGTCATCTAGTTAAGATCAAGATAAGTCTTTGGGAAGCTAGAGACCAAGTGAATTAACCTTAATTGACCGATTGCAAGTTGGTGAAATTAGTCCAAGCATTCCATAAGTTTGACTGCTAGCGCAGATACAGTCGGACAGTTGACTGTCAGCTGAAAAAGGCAAACGGACGAACAATGAAGTACAATACTAAACGAATGAATTATCGACGTACCAACCCCTGTAAAACCATACGGATGTACGACGACGATACTCCGACCAGCGAAATACGAGAACCAACCAGCGGGACAGAAAGGATGGTATTCAACAGCATGACGGGAACAGAAGTCAGTTGAGGCGTGCGTAAAATAGCAGCTTTAATTAAGATGGATAAGCGTAGTAAGGGTTAAAATGATTGGTTCATGATGAAACGGTTTCGCTTCAACTTCTTAAGATAAATAAAGAAGGCACAAAAATGAGGGCTGGTACAAATTAATAACTATAAGCGTGATGGCGTTACATATTCGGTCCTTAAACAAGGCGGAATTTTAGCTATCTGACACGAGATCTAAACAAACGGTACAACTTTAGATGCATTTGAGATGGAGGGTCACTGATTGGAGTACACCTGATGTGGTGGAGTGGTCTCAGCAGAAACTATTTTCGTTGTCTCCATTGTCAGCGTGTATCCATCCACTTATAACCTCGCAGGTTTTAATAGGTCATGGGTACTCACTTTAATCTGTTGGATCCTATGGTGTTTGTGTACTTCTTTCGGATTCTCGGTTTTGTAACCGAAACTATATTTGGTGCAAACAGACAAATTACTAGACAACAGGACTTTCGGATTTTTGAGTATCACTTGGTATAGCTGAACATGTAACTTGTCACACATGTACAACCAATATTAGACATTTTGTCCATGAGTTTGCACCTGAGTGTCAAGTCAGGTCCAACCAAGAATGCGCTTTCATGCAACCATGACGAATGAATTTTTAGCCATGTCGCTTCGTCTAAGCTGCTCCCCCAGTCCCTCTTGTGGATTCTCAGAGATTGCAGTCTGGGTCACACCAGTTACACTGAGCTTACATTTTTGTTCACTATTGCGTAGTAGCCGGAGGTTGCTCGTCAGTCAACTTAGCGACAGTGCAGTGATTGTAATATGCAAGCTCCCGTCCAACTCTTTGCATTCAATTGCCTGTTTATCACTCTCCCGTTTTTCATTCCATGCTGGTACATGGGGCTATGCAGACGAACGTGCGAATCGCGTGGGGACACTGACATTTGTGTTCTTTGTTTACCTCCGCAAGATCGTTGATACGCGCTTGTTTTCGCATCTTGTGAAAGCTCAGCTGCCCTTGTGCGGCCTTAGTATGGTTTGTAGTATTTAGTTTTGATTTGACTTTGCGTTGTACAGCATCTCGCTATCGGCAGTGTTGAAATCACCCGGTAGTTCTTGCGCTTTGCCCAAAATCGCAAGCTAATATTTTGCTTACACCCAACATAATTCACCAGATGCTGTATACTAGGAGCACCTAAGCCTAAAGTAATAACAGTCGTCGGGTAGAAAGGAAAGCAACCTTCTAAAATTTGCCACTCCGGTCTGCACCGAAGAAGCACATTTGGAACAGATTCATTCAAGTGTGTGCCAGTAGTCACAATTTCAGCAAATAAGTCTAGGTGCTACCGGGAATTGTTCATGTGCAGAAATATCTTATTTAAGTTGGGAGAAAGGGAGGGAATATATTATGAGGCAAAAATTGTCTGTTAGATGCATTAGGCCAATAATTAACACCGATCTTGGTAATTTTGTCGCCAAGGTTTCGTCATCAGTCAAGGTGATATTACGCAGTACTTTCGATAATTCCGTAGTGAGTTCAGATTCGAAGCAAATGAAATAATGGAGCAAATTCTGATAGCTATGCAGCTAGCCATTTTTCCTTTCTTTACTGATGGTACATGTAGCTGTAACTCATCTTGATTAAGTGTTCACTGCTACGCTTAATGAAACAATTGGCTTCGGAAATACTGCTGCGATAATGGAGTGATCTTCGAGATTTTAGTGACGCAATGCGTTCTAGTCTGCTTGTTGGGCCTAGGACGAATAATTCTTTGATTCTCTGGGTACAAAGTATCTTCCTCAAACCTGCTATTTTGAACCCATTTGCTGTTCCTGTGTTCTGGTTGTTGGTACAGAAGCAGGTGTTGGTTCACATATTGATCGAGTTGTACATGGCGGAGTATTCCTCTAGGAACTTCCTTTTCCTTGTGCCTCCTTCAATCAGGACCTCTGCTGCTTTTTGTATTGACACAAAGCATTAAAGTATCTCCACTACTATATCCTTGTTGCTAGTTCATTTCCTGTTTGGTTCACATAGACCTTTACCTAAGTTATGCACATTATCCTGTACAAAACATTGTGTAGCTGCTACATTTCAGTGAACAATAAACAAGGAACAATGAATTTATACTAGTTAAGAAGCGTTGATTTACAAGTCCCGTTGGATAGCTGGTGGGGATATCATTATAACAATAATGATAATAATGATAGCAAAACGGTTAGTAATTTAAATGTGAAAGTAAGGACTTGTGGTTGGCTCCTCCGTAGTTCGGCAACCCGCTTAGATTCACAGCACCCGCAGTTAACAACAAATAATTCCATGGTGAACTCCAGGTGTAGTATGGAGAGGTAGTGCTAAGTGACAAAGTGTAAGGGGATAAGTGCGTCATCCAACCGTAATTTAAATACTGTTAGTGTCGGTGCA